ATCAAAATCCTTCATGATGCTGATCAACCAATCAGATTTCCCGTCCACCAGGTGGACGGGAATCTCACACTTTAGATAGGTTTTGTGTCAGGCCCTATTCTGTGATTAGGGCCTGAACTTCAGGTTACTTTTCAGACGCTTCTGCGACCGAGAGTTCGACGATGTGGACGATGAAATTGCGATGTCATGCGACGACAAGCGAGCGTTATCTGTTATGGAAGAAACTATCCAACTAAAAGGGGGTCACTACAAACTGGCCTTACCATGGAGAAATCCACCACCATCCTTGCCGAGAAACAGACCACTCGCTGAGCGCCGTTTGAAGTCGCTAAAGAAACGGCTGGAGAAAGATGACGAGCTTTTAGAGAAGTATTCAACGTTTATGAATGACCTTCTTGAAAAGGACTACGCAAGAAAAGTACCGGACCAGCAACGCGAGAAGCAAATCGACGCGACATGGTATCTTCCCCACCACCCTGTCTTTCATCCTCAGAAACCGGACAAAGTACGGGTTGTGTTCGACTGCGCGGCCGAGTATGGAGGTACGTCATTAAACAAGGAATTGTTGCAGGGGCCGGATTTAACAAACAGTCCAGTTGGTGTTTTAACGCGATTTCGTGAAGGACCGGTGGCGATGATGGCAGATATTGAAGCTATGTTCCATCAGGTTCGAGTTTGACCTTCCGATTGTGATTCCTTGCGCTTTCTGTGGTGGCCAGATAACGACCTTAGCAAAGAACCTATAGAATATCAGATGATGATACATCTTTTTGGCAGTGTTTCATCTCCTGCCTGCGCTAATTTTGCCTTGCGAAAAACAGCAGACGACAACAATGAGCAATTCGATCCAGACACGGTCAGCACGGTCAAACGGAATTTATACGTCGACGACTGCCTCAAGTCTTCACAAAACGAGCAAGCAGCAATCACCACTGCAGAGCAACTACGTATCCTGCTTTCCAAAGGCGGGTTTCGTCTGACCAAGTGGCTATCGAACTCCAGAAGAGTTATCGAATCAATTCCAGAATCAGAAAGGTCCAAATTGGTGAAAGAGATCCATTTCGGCGAGTTACCCACGGAACGCGCTCTTGGGGTATTATGGAACGTCGAATCGGACACTTTCGGATTCACGATCGTAATCAAGAGTAAACCATTTACAAGACGAGGAATCTTGTCGGTCGTGTCATCAGTGTATGATCCACTTGGGTTTGCAGCGCCATTCCTTCGGCTGGCGAAAGAAGTCCTTCAGGATTTGTGTAGAATGAATCTGGGATGGGACGATCCGATCCAGTGCTCGGAGTGTTGGGAAGCTTGGCTGAGTGAACTACCGAAGCTGGAAAATTTAAGGATCCAACGTTGCTTCCAACCACCTGACTTTGGAAAAGTTGTCTCAACTGAA